GCTCCCTGCTCAGCGGGAAGCCTGCTTCTCCCTCTCCCACTCCCCCTGCTTGTGTTCCCTCTCTCGCTGTGTCTCTCTCTGTCAAATAAATAAAATCTTTCAAAAAAAAAAAAACTTGTTGACATTTTCATTTTTCACTGACTTATTATTCTTTTGAGTTTCAAATGGCTGTGCTCTCCCCCCAGAGATCCTGATGTAATGTTCTGGGGGTACAGCTTGGGCACTGGGATTTTTAAAAGTTTTCCAAGTGATTCTAATGTGCAGACAAGGCAAATAAATATCCCATGCAATGTGAAACATAGAGGCCAATGCAAGAAAACAGAAAAAAAGCAATGTCTAGGGAAGACACATAGAGGAAAAAAATCTTCAACTAAAAGTATGTGAGGGTAGCAGCCTGGTGAAGTGAGGAGATCAACAATTCTCTCTCCAGAAAATGATGATAAAGTTGGAGGAAAAAAGAAATCCAAAAATCCATTTAGGGTTCTGGAAATTGACCAAAAGCAAAGGAGAAATTGAAAAGCATTTATCCATGGAAAACCACTGAACTCTAGGTGAGAACAGAGAGTCTGTGGCATACTTGCCCGGGGCTGCTCACAGTCCCCCAGCCTAGGCAGCAGGGCAGCCGACCACGACCGGGCAGGCCGTACCATCCAACAGTTTCGCTGCCAGAGGCGGCTCACTGAATTTGGAAAAAACCACAGCCAGATGCTCCTACACACCCGCTAGAATGGCTACAACAAAAAAGACAGACCATAGCAAGTGTTGGCGATGCTGTGAAGAACTGAAACCTTCCAGCGTGGGCCTGTGAAATAGAACAACTACTTTGGAAAACAACTGGGCAATTCCTTCTAAAGCTAAACATAAATTTACCACATAAGCCGGTGGTCCTACTCCTACATAGTATCCGAGAGAAATAGAAAGGTTTGTATAAATACTCGTATACAGATGTTCCTATCAGCATTACCTACGATAGCCCCAAACTGGAAACAATCGAAAGGTCCATCAGCTGTTCAATGGATAGATAAATTGTGGCATATCCTTGCAATGGAATATTATTCAGCAATGAACAGGAATGAATTCCTATACATGCTGCTACATGAATGAACTGCAAGAACATTATGCTTTGTGAAAGAAGTCAGATTCCAAGACTGCATATTGTATGATTCTGTTTATTTTTTAAATTATTATTTTAATTTTTAATTTAAATTTAATTAGCCAACATATAATACATCATTAGTTTCAGATGTAGTGTTCAGTAATTTATCAGTTGCCTATAATACCCAGTGCTCATCACGTCACGTGCCCTCCTTAATGCCCACCACCCTGTTACCCCATTCCCCTCCAGTATGATTCCATTTATATGACCTCTCTAGAAAAGGGAGATCAATAAAAGGAGAAAGCTGTTTGGTGATTACCTGGGGTTGGCTGGGAGTTGACTGCAAATACGTACAAAGGCTGACATATCCTAAACTTGGATTGTGGTAATGGCTCAAAATCACTGAATCATTTACTGACAATGGGCTAACTTTATGGTATGTAAATTATATGTCAATCAAATAAAAAAAAAACCCTATGTGAGGGTAGATTAAATAGATTTTTAAATTTATTTATTTATTATTTTTATTTTTATAGAT